TCAGGAAAAATCAAAATCAAAATCTTTTGTTCCAGGTTGACATTAATATCTGCTGAGCCACTACAGTGTCTCATGAGAGTTGTAGTTCTAGGTTCCTCATTCTTCTCTATGAGCCCTGCTTCTTGGCAGGATTACATCTCTCATGATGCACCATGGTCCTCCCTGTGTCTGAATTGCTGCAATGCTCTTATGTATCAACATTTTTCAGTTTATTTTTTCCTTTTTTTCCACCTATTTTTCCTTTTTCTATCTTGCCACTGAAGAGAGGGAAAAGGAAAAACAAAAAAATTATCAAGTGAAAACTGACAACTGAAAGATTTTCAGGGGCTTTTTTTGTTGAAAAAACACACATTTTGAAAATCAAATTTTTTTCATAATATGTTTTTGAAGAAAGAATTGATGAAATTTATTTTTGGACCAATTTATTAATTATTTCACATCTTCGAAACTGAGACACAGAGCGATTCAGTGACTTGACCAAGGTCGCACAAGAAGTGGGTAGCAGAACAAGGAATTAAATTGAGATTAACTTGAGTCCCCGGTTCAGTGCTGTAACTACAAGACCAGCCTCCGTCTCTTTCACTAGACATAGGCTTGTCGAGCTGTGTCTTTCTGCCTCCTCTGTTTTCTTAGGCTTGTAGTTTTTCATTTCTTTCATCATTCATTGATAAAGTACAGGTTAGCAGTCACAAAAGCTCACATTATTGTTTTCATTTTGAATAAAAGGCTTGGCTGGCTTGTAACTGAGAATATAGATTGCAGGAATAGAGTGTATCAACATCTCCTTTCATCTCTCAATGGCCATAATTTGCGTATATAGACTTCACTTGATTGCATCACCTACTAGCTGCAAAGCATGTAACCTGCCCACTGCAATTTATCACCGATTTTTGTAATGGGTTCCGATATTGCTGTGAAGTCTCATCTTCACAGATCACTGCTGTTGCTGACTGCCTTAGGATTACTGGCTGAATATTTTATAGACAAGTAAGGCCATGTGCGTCTCTTGGACTACACATTCTTTCTTGTTATGGAGTATTAACCGGGGTTTGACTTTGGCAGACAGTAACTTACAACAATAGACAGCATGTTTCCAGCTTTCTGATGAATGAAGCATATGTGTTGTGTTTTAGAGATGCTCTCTGAACAGTAAGTAGGAAGAAATGGAGTGCGGTGAATTCAGCTGTTACTGAAGCTTCGGATCATGGCCTGGATACGTTAAGCAAAGCCCTGGGGTCAACACTGCTGTGTCAATGGGGCTATTGCGTCTCTCCACTAAATGCTAGTGCTGCATTAAGGAAGAAAAGCCTAAGGAAAGAAAAAGTTATGGCTAAGACTGTGAGGCTATTTCAAGACAGTTTGAGGCCTAACCACTCAGATTATTCATTATTGTTACAGTTATTTGAGTGTTTGGGTTGAAGGCAACTGACCAAACATTTAATAGGGCAATAATATAGGGTAGAATGTCCATCTGGACAGTTATGACATGCCTTCAGAGGTGTCATAACAACAATAAAACTCACACTTACACTGCACTGGATCTCAAAGTGTTCCACCAATTTTAATGAAACCCCACACCACCTTTATAAGGTGATTGGTGCACAGGTTTTACTGCTCAACTAGAGCACAGAGAGGTTAAGCGACTTGCCCAAAGTCACACTCTGAAACAATAACCGAGCAAGAACAGAATCTGAGAGTCCTAACTCCCAGTCCACTGCACTATTGAACAGTATGTTTCAATAATTGTAATAATCTCCTAGAAGTCTTCTTGCCAAAGCATCTCATTGATATTACACTTTCGCCAACCCCCAAAGGTTCCAAAACCACAAGTTAGGCCTGCCAAAAACATGAGGTTGCTTTAATAAATCATGAGATTTTAAAAAAGTAATAAGTGTTGGGATATTCTTATTTGTCTTCTGGTTTTTCAGAATCAAGGGGTTCACATTGTAACCATGATACCTATAAACTTCCTTTTCTTAAACTGAAAGCTGAGATTCTCACACAAAAAATCACATGACTCCAGGAGATGGAGCTTTAAGAAAAACACCAATTATTGTAAAAAGAACAGGAGTACTTGTGGCACCTTAGAGACTAACAAATTTATTTGAGCATAAGCTACATTCATGTAGCCCACGAAAGCTTATGCTCAAATAAATTTGTTAGTCTCTAAGGTGCCACAAGTATTCCTGTTCTTTTTGTGGATACAGACTAACACGGCTGCTACTCTGAAACCAATTATTGTGACACTCACATTAAATTGCAAGACTTGTCCACAGGGTTAAATATAAAGCAATAATACTGTAGAAAACAGCCAGACCTGCACAGTTACTCTCCATTACAGACACAAAGTGACTTCTTTTCCAGCCATCTGGGCATATCCAGTTATTTTAGGATTTTAAAGGAATTTCATACTGAAGGCACTCAATTGGCTCCCAAGGTACGAGAAGACTGAAATTTCATGAAAAGCCTCTGGGGACATAATAAGCAAATATCTGTCTATGTGTGTATAGGGTTTTGCAGCTGCACCCTTTGGAATCCTCTCTGGAAATTGTGCCCCTAATGAGGAAAATTTCTGAACAACAATGAAAACTAGTGATATATATATTATGGATGGGCCATGGGGTTTGCTTACAATAAGAGCCAACACAAAGCTTCACTCCGAACACAAACCAAACCCGCACAGAGCGAGATCTTATGGAGGTGCTAAAAAGCACTGAACTGGGTGAATTTTTTCCTCATCGGTTTGAATTTTCACATACTTCCCCCGGGAGCAGAAACAAAAGTAAAGAGATACAGTGAGAGAGGTCAGTATTGTAGCATTTCCAGTATGTCTTGAAGCAGAAAATGCAGGAAAATTCATGAGAAAACCTGTTCTCCTGAGATTTACATTCCAATTTTGCAGACCCAGGTGATTCAGATAATTTCACAGAGTCTGATTCTGCTGCTTGCCTTTTGGGTCAAAGACAATTGAACTCAATGGGATCTGTGCTCAGCATTCCCCATGTGATTCTTGGCACCTGGCAGGATCACACAGGTCAGAAAGATGCTGAGCAGCTAAACTCCCATTGACCTCAGCACCTCCTCAGGATTTGGCCCCACAATGTGGGTTGCTTGAGGTTTGCCCATCACTAGCTCCAGTCACGCAAAGGAGTGATCTTTTTTTAAAAAAAAAACAATAACATAAAACCTGTTCTCTGTGTTATGACAGCTGCTACATATAAACTGAATGGGAGACTATACACTGCCAAAGGACAAAAGACACTGATAAGCTGAAAAGCGGTGATTGCGAAAGATTGTGGTTTTTTCCTCCCTTGCTGTACGGATGATAATACAAGAAGAAACAGTTCCACTTAAATGGATATCACACTTCATGGGGAAGCATATTGTATATTTCCTTAATGGAACACAAGGTAAATTACCGTGGTGATTGAAAGAATAGGTGAATCAAAATAGCACTGAATCCCTGATTAATGGAGAATGTTTCCCCTAGAGAATCAGGGAAGAATGAGAGATGAGAACTGATCAGAATCATCTCAGAATTATGTTGTGCTTCCCTGTCTGTTGTATCCAGCTGTTACATCTTGTGTTATATCTAGATTGTAAGCTCTTGGGGGCAGGGACTGTCTTCTTGTTATATGCACAATGTGAATGGGCCCTCGAGACATTAAAGCAATATAGAAAAAAATATTAATGAATAACTGATGAATATGTTTCTATCCCAGACTCAGTATGCAAATGAGGCTTAATGTCTGAAAACACAAGTTTCTAATAATACCAAACTGTGATTTCAGACATGTTATTGGCACTGTGCTTTGTTCCTTAAAAAAAAAAAATCCATCAACAACTCAGCAATAAAAAAAGAAAGGAATCTACACAATCCTATGTTGACTCTGGCTTATCAGCTTCCATGAGGATTTTTTAAAGTGATTTGGAAAGCAAGAAGACACGTTACAACTTCCTCTACTGATCTGGTGTATATTAGAGAAGAGGTGGGAGGCATAGGAAGTTGTTTTCCTTGAGGGGCCATCTTCCACCACCCAGCAGGGGCTGAAGGCTTGAACACAGGAGAGACAGCATGGAAGGCTCTGTGCAAAAATGAACTCAGGAAGAATAAAAGGGTGCCTGGCCTTTCTTTTCTGCACTGTGTCTCCCAGACTGTGACCTCTAACCTGAGCAGATCCCATGCAGGGTAAGCTGCACTGTTGTAGAGCTACATAGCTGTGACAGACATATATTATGATTTTTATTAGAAGCGAGGGCCAAATTCAGCTTTGGTATAAATCAGATCAAATCCTACTGACTTCAATGGGAATGCATTGATGCCCGGACTGGAACTTGACCCACAAGTTCCAGGGGCAGGAGGACATGATGGTGCTTTGGGGTTCATGACAATGCTGACATTTTTGATGTTAAATTTTGGGTTTCACAAAAGTTTTTCCCAGTTTGATGAAACTTTGTTTCCCAGATTTGACAATAACAGCCATGAGATTATTATAAAAGCCTCATAACACTTAGTCCCAAGTGGCATTAGAAAGGAAAGTGACATATGAGGCAGCATATGGCAAATGTGTATTTAGAAGCACAGAAAACAGACAAAACTCATTTGGGGTCAAGAACTAATCAGGCAATGTATGTTTTAGGTTCTGTGTTGATGCCACTGAGGAAGAACATTATATTGAAAACTATATTTATAAACACAATAAAATCCAACGGTGTACAAAAGGCTGGACAAAAATGAAAAGAAGGGGGTGGGGAAAGAGTCTAGTTTGTGGCAAATCATCTCTTCTTTGGCCACCCAAAAGCAAAGTCAGAGGATTTCATATAAATTCTTTATGTAAAGGACTGTCTATGGTTTTTGTATAGTCAAGTTCATAATCAACATTTTCATGGAGGAAAAGAAAGTGCTTAATTTATGGTTTATTCTTCCGGATTCATTACCTTCAATATTTGGCACAGATTCAGAAAATACCATTTTAGACACTGAATAAATTGTTTTATTGGAGAAGAATTGTTTTATTGGGTGTTAGTAGCAAGATCACTTTTACACACAATATTATGAAGTTCTTGTGGCCCATAAGGAATTGGTGGGTGCCGTTGTTGACCATGCAGTGTTCCAGAAAAAGCAGGTAATCTGCAAAGAACACAAGATGAATAATATTGATAATATTGTCATGGCTGTGGGTTGTGGTATAAAAACAATGGAACCCTGGGGAAACTGTTTCATCTTTATAAGATTTCTCCGGTGCGTATACATTTTCTCAATCCCATTGCTTCTACTTGGGTATCACATGTCACTCTGCACATGCATATGTAACTTTCTGTCATTCCAGGAAGCAGAATATAATAGACCTGACTGTGATCTCATATTCTCCAATGTAAATCAGGATTAACCCAAATGAAGTCAGTGAAGTTACACCAGTGTAAATCTGAGATGAGCAAAATCAAAGCCAACCCAAAATCTTTCATTGAGTCTGGTAGCCATTGCTTCAATTCCAGAATTGGGTCCAAGACTTGAGCATGAGTTAGCTTGACAACATGTGTGAATTACCTCTGCAGCTAGGTCCATATGGTGATTCTTCTTTGTCTTCTGATACATGTTGCTATCATGCCACCAGAGAAACATGCCAGATGGCTCAGTTTGTTGTTCAGAATTCCTTCTCTCCTTTCTGCACTACATGTTAATCTGTCTTCCAGCAGATTTTTAAAACACGTTTTATGTAGCCTCTAGCACATCATAGTACATTTTTAAGCTTCATTAACTCTCTTGTTTGACATCAGCCAGGATTTGATCAAATATTCAGAAAATCTGCCCTCTAATTGAGTTGTGGTGATGTACCCAGTTTGCATTAACCGGATGAAATAATTAAGTTAGAGATGGTGACATTTCTCCATTCTTTTCCGTGTTTTACTTTACTTTTTCATGCAATAACGGATTGCCAGATTGCTCAGTAGCGTGTGGACATTCTAAGCCCCTAGCCCAGGAGAGTATATGTTTAACTGTAAGCACATCATTCATTTCACTGAAGGCTATTGGACTATGCACATGCTTAAATATAAGCAAGTGCTTGAGTGCTTTGCTGGATCAGGGACTAAGTGTAGGATCCCAAATCCTGCCAAGATGCTAGAGCCTGCAGATGCCCAGTCGCAGTTCATATCAGCTCCTAGATTTAGGACATCTTCTGTGGTATTAATGGCTGGTAAAACAGTGAGAATATTTGAGGCAATGATGAAAGTCCTTGGGCAGGCATCACCCCCACCTAAAGACTTTAGGAAAGAGAGTTTATGAACTTCATAAAGATCATGGAACAATGGGAGTTTCCTTGAGTAATGACCTGAGGACCTGGACAAATGATTTCTGAGCAGAGAGGTCATCATGAGCTCAGGAGTCGGATACCTGATGGTCCCCCTATGTCAGAATGCCCTACCAAGTTGCATTCTGCCCAGAGTCTCAAAATTTCTGCATTTATCCTTCCATCCCTAGCGGTAGAGTTCAAGACTTCGGGGTTTATTTCCTTTTTTCTAAAGACGCCAGGTGTTTGGCAAAGAAATGTTATCAGTTAATTAGCAGAAAACCGAGCAGAAGGCTGTCTGTGGATGATCACTAGTACAATGGGGCTTTCTGTTGAAGATAGCCAAGCTAATGAAGTCACAAGATGGGCTCCTGCAAAGCTCTGTGCTGATGAATGAAGATGAGCCAAGTCAGTGAGAAAATTCTGGCACCACTTCCAGACAGTCACAGAGACCTTGAACATTCCTCTGTGTTTGGCTTATATGAGCATCGAAGGACTAGATTTTTATCAGTCAGTGTCAGTGAACATTAAGGCTATTTATTTTGTATATTTTGACACATTGTCAACACCATGTGGTTTACGGGCTATAAAGCTCTAGCTATTTGAATCTCAACATCTACTGACATTACATAATTATTGTCTGACCCTCCCATAATGTCCCACAACTGTGAACATTTAAACTGATATAAATAAATACAAATAAACAGATATTATCCATCAAAATTATTTACCTTCCCCCTTCCCACCCCAAATTCTGCCAATGCGAGTTATATAGGCAACTGTGTCTTGGTTCATGGAGACAAATAAGACCCTCTTGGTTTGCCTCAGCCTGTATATTTTCTGGCTTACCAAGGTCTACTGTCTGCAGAATGGTGATTTAGTTACTAATGTCTATCCAGTACCCATTAAGGAGCATGCTCTGTTCTGTGTGTGTGAAATTCACTCCCATGCAAAGCCTTCTGCAAAGATGGTGTCCTACATTAGCAGCTTAAGTGGTGCTTACGGCCTTGTGTAAATGCATTCTGCTCTCTCAGCCTGAGACCAATCTCTCACAATTCCAACAGAATATGGAATTATATACTTATTACTGGAGTTGGGGGCACTAGTGGGTTAATGCATTAGTATTTCATTCCTCAAACCCTGGGTTAAGCCACACAAGTGGAAGCAGTTTGCTGTCATGCTGTTCTCTATTCATATATATCACAAAACTACATGATCTCACGGAGCTGATAGGCCAGTGTTTCTCAAACTGGGGTCGCCGCTTGTGTAGGGAAAGCCCCTGGCGGGCCGGGCCGGTTTGTTTACCTGCCCCGTCCGCAGGTCCGCCCGATCGCAGCTCCCACTGGCCGCTGTTCGCTGCTCCGGGCCAATGGGAGCTGCTGGAAGCGGCGCGGGCTAAGGGACATACTGACCGCCACTTCCAGCAACTCCCATTGGCCTGCAGCAGTGAACCGCGGCCAGTGGGAGCCGCGATCGGCCGGACCTGCTGACGGGGCAGGTAAACAAACCGGCCCGGCCCGCCAGGGGCTTTCCCTACACAAGCGGTGATCCCAGTTTGAGAAACACTGCTGTGTTCAGAATAGAAGAGTGCATGGAGGCAGGGTTTCAATGTAAAACTAAAGTGCTTTGGATAAGCTGGGTTGGTGGGGATAGCAGCATGCACCTTCCACCCTACACCTTGCTCTAACCAATGCTATGCAGCCCTGAATTCCAAGAGTAATTAATGTATTGACTCATTTAAAAGATACAAAAGAAATAGACTCATTCCTCGGGCTTCTGGTATGAGAAGCACAAATGCTAGAGGATTATCAGGAGTTATTAAAATGCATTTGGCTTTACTGTCTGCCCAGGAGATCAGTCAAATGAAAAGAGAAAATCTCCAGTTTTAACAGAATTGAAGACTCAGTTAAAGAGTCACGAAAACCTTAGAAACTGCGTATGGCATCTATGAGCTTAATAAATGGCCACAAGCTAATAAATACATTCACCAATATACTCTTCTCTTGCAATTCACTGATGATTCAGACCTTCCCAGTGAAATAGGCTACGGCTTTGATCCACATTAACTATACAGGATGTTAGAAGACATTTTTAGGTCTTTTACTCGGGGTAGCTGCACTTGAAGACATCAAAGGTTCGGAGTACCTGCTGTGCATTCAACGGGAGATGCAGACGCTCAGCCTGACTCCGGGGGTCTCATTTTTGCGGTAGTTGTAAACTATTCAGTTTCTGGCCCAGGTCGCTGTAGGCTCTGGGAGATCCCATGAAATTCTTTATCACTTTACTCTCTGTGCAATCAACCTTGCCAAGATCCCCTTCTGCCAATCCTGTGCAAATTCTCTCTCTGCGTCTGCAGGGATCGCCCTCTCTGTCCACTCTTTAATGTGGTCCCTTCCCTCTGTAGCTCCTCGCTGCAAGATCCTCTTTTGGTGTCTTCAGATTTACCTCTCATTTTGAATTAAAATGACAACCAAATGACAAGCATGCAGAGCCCTATGCTCCACTTTACTGTTATCACAGAACAAATTATCCATGAACTTTAGACGGGGGAATTCAGCATCTCTCAGCTACGATAAGAAATCATCATTTCATTTTAAAACACTCTTTGCATTCACCTTGGCTCAGCTACTGTGGGTGGAAAGAAAAATTCAGGGAAATCAAAGGGCTGAATCTTAAGCACAATAATGATATCACAGAGGCAAGGAAACCACACAGTTAACAGGCTGAAAACTTGAGCACTCTTCATGGGTCTATACCTTAAAATCATCCAGGTCCTGTAACTGGTGCAGAATGCAACAGCTTGCTTACTGAATAGGGCAGCTTGTTGAGTGCATATGACACCAGTGCTCTGGGACCTGCACTGGCTACCCATTGGTGGAGTTAAAGGTGTTCGTTATGGCCTATCAAGCCCTAAATAACCTAGGACTGCCGATCTGCAGGATCATCTCTGTCCCCGGGCCATATTGCCACAGCTATGGTCAGCAGCATGCCTAAGATGGGGCATTCTCATTAGAAAAGAGAGAGGGCACTGGCAGGATGTTCCTGGATCTTGCTTTCCCCCACCCCCTTAACCCAGATTTGGTGACCTCCTGGCGATGTTGGAAAAGACACCTGTTCAACAGGGTTTTGGGAGAGGCCTGAGGCCATGCTTCCCAGAGCAATGAAGTGGTAGAAAGGAGTTTCTGTAGGAGATGACTGGCTAGCTGAATTCCTGCTTTCATGCTGCTGGGATTTTATGGTATTAACAATGTTAGCGTGCCCAGAGTCTCGAGAAGGCATCTTTTTAAATGATTTCAAATCTAAATAAATATGAATAAAGATTATTGTGCTTATGAAAGATGCTGGAGTGACAGACCGAGAAACAGAGATCCCTCTTGTTATCCATAGAACAGGCATGAGCAGCACTAGCTTCCCCCAAACCCTGTGAAGAGAGAGACTCCATGCATGTACTTCAGACATTTGCTGGCACAGTAATGTGATTTTTAACCTTTTAGACTGGTAAAAGCCCTAGAAGTAGATGTTATTATACTGGCAAAGACGTGCTCCTGTTGGGAGAGCTTATTTTGTTTGGAGAACTGGTATAAGCTGCATCTACACTACTATAGCTATACCGGCAAATCTTTTCAAGTGTTGAGTAGGCCTTAGTGCTTGTCCTCTTTGCTGAGGCTGCCAATACAGCGAACAATTGTCATTTATGAACTGGCCTGAGAATATGAAATGGATTCAGCACTCAGCAAACATGAGATGGTAGCCCCTTTTGATTGCTAGTCACCGGAGGTAGATTTGAGCCAGTGACCTGGAGGTGAAAGGCTTAATATTGCGTTCATGCTCCCTGAGCCATCCAGTCTCCCCAGCTGACATCCGCTTTGAAACACATATGCTCATGTCACAGTTTTTCTGCTAGCAGTAAGATCCATGAGATAAGGGGGTTGAAATTTTCTTCTTCCACACCATTCTGTGTAACAATGTTTGCGACCATCATAGTTTCAAATAAATATACAATATACTTATACTTATACACAATATACTTGCCGCCCGGGGAGGGGGGGTGGGCAAGTGGGGCAATTTGCCCCAGGCCCCGCAGGGACCCTCACGAGAATATAGTATTCTATAGTATTGCAACTTTTTTTATGGAAGGGGCCCCCAAAATTGCTTTGTCCCAGGCCCCCTGAATCCTCTGGGCGGCCCTAATATATCAATTAATACATGGCAGAAAATCTGTAAACACCAGGTGAGGTGGTTTGATATTGGAGCATGACCTGATATGTTCAATAAATTCTTAAGCCTCAGAACTGGATGTTCATTAATGTCCCACATTTTACTCAGCTTGTAATCCTGGGTAGGGAAGTCTGGGACCATCCAATGATCAAAGAACATTTGAAATGACAGTCTGAGGACACAAAGGATAGCAGCACCTGTCGTGTCGGACTAGCTTGGAAAAAAACAGGCAGACTGAAAGTGCAAACAAGTGCAGCAAGTTATTAATAAAATCTTCTTAAAAACTCAAGGAGTAAATCAAGATGCACTTCACAAAGTCTCTGGTAATTTGTTGCAGGGGCATTCTTCATCGGGTGCTGTTAGGTATTTTTTCCATTGCTATTTCACAATGACGGCTTGCTACATTTTGCTGCTTCATACTGAGTCATGTAATAATTAATTAGTTTTGAGAGGGTCTTCTAATTAAGAGTAGCCGCTCCATTGTTATGACTCTTTCAATGGCATTGATTAGGGTTAGCACCAGCAACCCACGTGAAGGGCCATATTGCCATTTCTTTCCATTTTACATACATTTACTTACTCCAATGACTCCAGACCAAGAGTCCTGCTCTATGAAGCCTCTACTTCCACTGAAGAGAGTGCAGTGCACACCTCCTTCCAGGCTTGGGCCCCATGTTAGTGCTATCAGTGTCCCTGAGTAATTCTGTTCAGGTGGCTTTTGAAGATTAGACTGTAAGCTCTTTGAGGTAGGGACCATCTTTTTGTTATATATATATATACACACATGTACGGCACCTAGCAATATGGGGCCCTGATCACTGACTGGGGCCTCTGGGAACTAGAGTCCCAGAAGGCCTGCTTGTAATCTGGAAACACTCTAGCAGGCCTGATTCTGATGTCATACTGGTGTAAATCGTCACTCCATTGTTGTCAATGACATTACATTAGTGTAAAACCAGTGTATACGAGACCAGGATAAGACCCATTGCTATCAGCAGGACTGCTTATATGAGTACGGGTTACTTGTAGATCATGATAATCTAGTCCAGTGGTTCTCAAAGCCGGTCCGCCGCTTGTTCAGGGAAAGCCCCTGGCAGGCCGGGCCGGTTTGTTTACCTGCCGTGTCCGCAGGTTCGGCCGATCACGGCTCCCACTGGCCGCAGTTCACTGCTCCGGGCCAATGGGGGCTGCAGGAAGGGTGGCCAGCACATCCCTCGGCCCGCATCACTTCCCGCAGCCCCCATTGGCCTGGAGCGGCAAACCACGGCCAGTGGGAGCCGCGATCGGCCGAACCTGCGGACGTGGCAGGGAAACAAACCGGCCCGGCCTGCCAGGGGGTTTCCCCGAACAAGCGGGGGGACGGGGTTGGGGAACACT